AAAAAAAAAAAAAAGCATTTTGTATGGCGCTAATGTTACGACGAAATTTAATCAAAAACTTAAAATAAAAAGAAATAGTTAAGAACAAGAAAATAAGTAGTGATTTTAACAAAGAAATAATAAATTCAGAAGAACGAAGTATAAATAAATTCAGAAAAACATTGAATAATGTTGAAGCGAAAGTGGACATTCGTTGTTACAATTGTGGTGTAAAAGGCCATAAAGGTATTGATTGTAAAGACGGAGAGAAAGGTGTAAAGTGTTTTGGGTGTAATAACTTTTCCCATATGTCGAAAAATTGTCCAAACAAAAACTTACAATGTGACAAACGTAATTGCAAATTGTTAAAACAAGTAAAGATATAATGATGAAAGAAATAGGAATGAGTGATAAGAAGTGGTTAGCTTTGTATGATACAATCAGTAAATTTAATGTTGTTATATATAGAATGTACGAATTATTAAAGAAACCGAATAGAATCCAACTTTTATTTAGTGGGATTTGGACTAAAATCAAATGAGAACAAAGTGAAACCGTTTCGACATTTTGAAGAAAGTGTAGAAATCGATAATAACATTTTCAATTTAGATTTAAATTTTCACATCGTACCATCAAACAGAATAGATGTTAACATTATTATAGGTGAAGAATTATATTCACAAGCTGAGGTGCCAATTAATTCAAGTGGTATTTTTGTACAAAAATTAAATACGTGTGATATATTTGAAGAATATGCGCTGATGAAAATTGATATATGTAAGAAAGATATAAACGTAGACCCACTTGCTAGTGCTGCTGCAAAGCGAAAACTTTTTGATTTAATCGTACTATATACGTCTAATAAAATTAAACAACAAATGTGAAAATGACAATAGTGTTAAAAGACGATACGCCAAGTTTTTCTGCACCTAGAAGACTTCCTTTTTGTGAAAGGCAGATAATTGATAAGCGAGTTTAGCAATGGCTTGAAGACGGAATTGTTGAAACTTCAGAATCTGAATTCTGCAGTCCAGTAGTATTGGTGAAAAAAACGCGGTCGCACCAGGGCTGTGTATAGACTACCGACGCATAAACAAAGTATTAATTAAGGACATATTTTCACTGCCCTTAATTGAAGACCAACTCCAAGATATTTAGCACGACTGATATAACAAACGGGTTCTTCCACGTTTACGTGTGTGATGCAAGCCGCAAGTATACATCATTTGTAACACACAACGGTCAGTATCAGTTTCTCAAGGTTCCAGTTGGATTGTCCAACTCTCCTGATGTTTTTCAGAGGTATGTAAATGATATATTTCGAGAGTTTACAAAAGAGGGAATTGCTCTCTCTTACATCGACGACCTTATAATTCCGGCAACTGACGAAAAAGAGCGCTAATTCCATTAGAAAAGGTTCAAAACTTCTGCCAAGATTATGGGCTTCAAATTAATAAAAAGAAATGCCAATTTTTACAAAGACGAGTGGAATTTTTAGACCACGTTATAGAAAATAACCAAGTCGCTCCATCAAGTGTGAAAATAGAGCAGTTATCAAGTATTACCAAAAACGTTGAAACAGTTAGATAGTTTTCTTGGGATAGCCAGGTAATTTAGAAAGTTTATACGCCAATTTGCATTAATTGCTTGTTATTACAAAAATCTCCAGATGATGGTCAATGGCACCCCGTGTATTATATGAGTAAAAAGACGATGGAAGCTGAGCGAAAAAGTTTAAAGTTTATTTATTGGGCTTACATTTTACCATTTCACCGACTGTAATGCGTCTGCTAAAACAATAGACAAAGGAGATTTATGTACAAGAGTAGTAGATGGATAATGTTATTGCAAGAGTATGACTACGCTATCCAACACCGTTCTGGTTCAAGTATGAAGCACGTAGATGCATTGAGTAGATTTCCGATTTTAACAATGATAGTCGATGACGTCACTTTAAAAATCAAAGATGCTCAAGCACAAGACGAGGAACTACGACTACTAAAAGAAATTTTGCAAGAAAGAAAAAGTTATGAAGATTACTTTATGAAGGGTGACATTTTATATAAATTAGTAAACGACTGCGAGTTATTAGTTATACCCAAAAACGTGAAAAGAGAAATTATTCGACGAGCCCACGTAAAAGGACATTCCGCTTTAGCAAAAACTAAAGATATTATATGTAAAGAATTCTATTTTTCCAAACTGAATGAAAAAATTCAAAAGTATATTTCCAATTGCGTTCAATGCATCGTTGCCAATCGCAAAAGAGGAAAACAAGAGGGCGAGTTACCTCTATTATATAAAACATATACTCCATTACATACATACCACGTCGATCATTTAGGACCGTTAGAATGTACATGTAAAATGTATAAGTATATATTTGCAGTAATCGACGCATTTACATAATTTTCTTGGTTATATCGTGCCAAATCAACAGCAGCAAAAGAGGTCATCAGTAAGCTAAAGAGGCAATTCATCAATTTTGGTAATCCAGTTAAATTCGGCATTCACGTCCAACGAATTTAAAGAATAGACCACTACAGGACTACCACGTGAAAACGGTCAAATTGAAAGATTGAACAGTACAATAATTGCAGTTGTATCGAAATTGAGTATCGAAGACGCAACAAAGTGGTATCGTTATGTCGGAAGAGTGCAGCAGGTGCTAAATTCTCCATATAATCGAAGCATAAATATAACACCGTTTGAAATTATGATTGGAACCCGAATGAGGTCTGAAGAACATATTTATATTAAAGAACTCATCGAAGGACAAGTAGTGCAACAGTTCAACCAAAATAGAGGCGAAATGCGCAACGACAAGAAGAAAGCAAAAAACCATACAATCTGCGACGTAGAAAAGCTCATATTTACAAACTAAATGATATTGTACACGCGTACACAATTAAGTAGCGGTTTAAAGCTCTAACAAAAGTTTTTAGGCCCCTATCGAATTCTTCTTCTTCTTAATTGGCGTAGACACCGCTTACGCGATTATAGCCGAGTTAACAACAGCGCGCCAGTCGTTTCTTCTTTTCGCTACGTGGCGCCAATTGGATATTCCACGCGTAGCCAGGTCCTTCTACACTTGGTCTTCCAACGGAGTGGAGGTCCTCCTCTTCCTCTGCTTCCCCCGGCGAGTACTACGTGGAATACTTTCAGAGCTGGAGTGTTTTC